TAGAGAGAGAGAGAGAGAGAGAGAGAGAGAGAGAGAGAGAGAGAGAGAGAGAGAGAGAGAGAGAGAGAGAGAGTATGACAGCGCAGCAGCGAAAGGCGCGTTATCTTGGCACTTGGAAATATTTGCCATCGTGTTACGATATTAAACATAGCCGACAATGAAACCAACCCTAATAATCATAGCGAGTATGACACTGGCATTACTATAGTTAGATGTAAATACCATGGCTGGTCTCTCGTGTAAGAAATCAAAACGAGGGTTTCTCGTATCTCTATGGACAAACTGTTTCGTGGGCATTCTTGGGTGGGGGAGGGGGAGGGGGGTTTAACACGCATAGTTGTTTCGACGTGCGGTAAAGAGAGGTTTCAACCAGAGGGCAGGGAAAGTGCATGTATTAGATCTACTAAAACGTAAAGATAGTAAAACATTTCAGAATACAATAAAGACATTTACTCCTGTGTTTCGCCGGTAGGTGCTTTTAGCATTTGTTGATTACTTAGCTGGGCAGCGGTTTGTGTGAATGGCAGGATTGCTTGTAGACATTGCGTTTGTTTCATTCTATCTCTCTGTAATGTGAATTTCGTAATCAGAAACACAAACGGGAATGATGCTGATTGAATATTTAAGGTAGTGTTTGAGATTTGAGAATTGTGTTGCAAAATCATAGGTTTGCACGTAACAAAACAATTATTGCCCGGTTGTTCGGGCAACATATTGTTTTATGAAACACGAAAATCAATGTTGCCCCTGAGCTTCATTGTAGACAACATTGATTTTATCTTGTTGCCCTCACAATTAGACACTAATAATAGAGTGATAGCAACACGTAAATACTACGGCTATGGGACACTACCCTTGCCCCGCCCCTTCCCCACATTACGTATTACGCTCACTAGCACAAGTTAGCGTAGGCTCGCTCAGCCCTAGGCTCTCGCGGAGCCCCCCCGGAAAGTCACGGTACGCAACCCATGATTCGCTAATTATACACGTGACTTCGCGAGATGTGCAAGCACTCTGTTGATTGGTCGTGGCGGCTTCGCCAATTTTAAAAACAGATCGATCTCGAATCGATAGATAAAATTAAAATCTATTTTATACTGCGCAGCATTGATTTATCGATTTGATCAACGTTATCATAGTATTACGACAGGAACCTTCACATAAAACTAGGTTGCATCCCCGAAATCAATGACATATAAGGGTGTGTGATGATGCAGAAAAAATATTTAAGGAATAATATTTTATATGCGTTATTACTTCTTCATTGTTTTCACACGCAGAGCCTGACGCTCAAGTTCTATCTGCTTATTAAAGGGATTACGTCACGAATTTTCTATGGTAAAATTTGTAAAAAAAAAAATTACCATTTTTTTACATTAAAAGTAAGAACTAATGGGACTAAACAAATCGTCAAATTCTTACCTGATAAGATTGTTTCTCAACTAGTTAAAAATCCAAAAAACCTGGACGATTTGAATTAATGTTGTCTAACATTAATTGCTTGCTATGGGCTATGTATGGGTCACGAGTGTATGCTCACATCGAACAATATAGTAAAATAGGAAGTATAATGCAGCAATTTAACCATAAAATGTAAACAGAATTACTTATATTTTGTGAAAAAGTAGAAATGTTTTTTTCATTTTTTACTATTTACGGTGACGTAATCACTTTAAAGGTATACTGACCCTGAGTATGTGGGAGGAAAGGACGCGAATAGTTTGACGTATACCAAAAATGTTTCTTATTAAACATATGACGTATATGTAAAAATATATGATAGAAAGATGTAGCATAGGTGATCGTAACAGAGAAACAGCATAAGCAGATGTTGTCAAGAGATTCATACGGGCCTGCCGCAACGTAATTAGCTCTCCCATGAGCGCCCCCTGGCGGTCACGCAGCGCCACCTACATTACGGAATGTCGTTTGGGAATTCTCTATTACCGAGGTTAGGCTGCCGTAGACTCGAGCTAATGAAATTGTACGGCGACGGAGATATATATCGCGATGACGCATGATTTAGTTATTTCATGAGAATTTTAAATATTTTTAATTAAATTTACGAGCGACACAAACAGTTATAGTTATGGTAATGTTAATAAAGAGACAAGACTAAACAGATGACTGCAGTTCTCGCGTTTAAGCGATTACGATAGTAATGACCTCTCCGTTATATTATTATGATCTTTACTAATATTATCGTGTGTGTGTGTGTGTGTGTGTGTGTGTTGCTGTGCTGTGTGTGATGTGTGTGTGTGTGTGTGTGTATGTGTGCTGTTGTGTTGTGTGTGTGTGTTGTGTAGTGTATGTGTTGTGTGTATGTGCTGTGTGTATGTGTGTGTATGTATTTGTGTGTGTGTTGTTGGTCTGTGTGTATGGTGGCGGGCTGTCGGTGTGTAGTGCGGTGTGTTTATGTATGTGTGTGTGTATGTATGTGTGATGTGTATGTGTGTGTATTGTAGTGTGGTGTGATGTGTAGGTTGTGTATATGGTGTGTGTCGTGTGTGTGTGTGTGCTGTGTGTGGGTGTGTATGTGCGTGTGTTAGTGCTGTGTGTGTGTGTCGCTCAGTGTGTGGGGTTGTGTGTGTATGTGTGTGGTATGATGATGTACTTACTTACCTGCTTAGATTTAGACAAGCATGTGAAAAAATTCATCAGCGGAAACAAGAGTTTTTGGTTAAGCACTGCCTTTCTCGTATACATGAGCCCGTTAAGTGTGCTATAGGTTTAATTAATTCTATTACATTTTCATTTATGTTACGAATATTTCATGTATTTTTTCTATATACTGGAAGAGGTGAATTGTAAATCATGCTTAACGTACCCGCGTCTTAATCTGAAGTGCAGCTGAGCCATTCGTATTACTCTCATCAAACTCGCGGAATACCCTACTGCCGGAAAAACCCGTCCGGTCTGTCTGCTGTGTGCGACCCCGCGGTATATAGTCACCGTTCAGATGCGCTTTATACAAGATTAAAGCGAAACAACGCGGAGGTGCATCTTGCAATCAACCGACATATAATTACAGTTCGCATGTTTAGCCGCACATGTCACATGTTAGAGCTTTCTATAATAAATTATAAATATATATATATATATATATATATATATATATATCCGCGTGCTGGGCTGCGTGTGTGCGCGCCGCTCGCTGTGTGTGTATGTTCAGTATCTTCTTTATATATAGAAGGCAAAAGCTAGCATACTGCTCAAGCATGTATCAGCAGCACATACGAAGTGGCGGCGGCAGCAGCAGCATCACCATCAAAAGCAGCTGTAGCAGTAGCAGCAGTAACAGCAGTAACAGCAGTAACAGCAGCAGCAGTAGCAATAGCAGCAGTAACAGCAGTAATAGCAGTAACAGCAGCAGCAGTAGCAGTAGCAGCAGTAACAGCAGTAACAACGGCAGCAGCATGCAGCAGCAGCAACAACAACAACATCAGCAGCAGCAGTACCAGCAGTACCAGTAGCAGTAGCAGCAGTAACAGCAGTAACAGCAGCAGCAGCATGCAGCAGCAACAACAACAACAACAACAACAACAACAACAACAACAACATCAGCAGCAGCAGCACCAGCAGTACCAGCAGCAACAGTAGCAGTAGCAGCAGTAACAGCAGTAACAGCAGCAGCAGCATGCAGCAACAACAACAACAACAACAACAACATCAGCAGCAGCAGCAGTAACAGCAGCAGCAGTAGCAGTAGCATCATCATCATTATCATCATCATCATCATGAGCAGCAGTAGCAGCAGCAGCAGCAGCAGCAGCAGCAGCAGTAACAGCAGCAGCTGTAGCAGCAGCATCATCATCCTCGTCATCATCTTCATCGTCATCATCATCAGCAGCAGCTGGCTGTCGGTGTCGCCCCGGCGAGCGACGCAACCGCAGACGTGATAGTCATTTCCGTTCCGCCCAGGAATTACATTACGCCGCCCATGATGGCTGCTCGCTGTGAACACGCATCGTACAGTCAAGATTCGATCGCACATCAATGACGTGCCGCGACCAGCGTTCGTGTACGCCTAGCTCGTGTCGCTCCCACAGCGACACCTGAAACTAGTTTAGAACTGTCGGTGCGAGCAGGCACGGCGGCATGTCGTAGGCAGTCAGTCGACGACAGAAGTGAGTGGAGTGTACGCGCACCATAATACACACATTCAGTAGCTAGTGCTTCCGAAAAAAACCACGCGTACTGCTACCGCAAACATAGACGGTATGAATCGACTAACGTGTAATGCAGTTTCAATTGCTTAGAAGTAAATATAAAATATAGAGGCAACGTACTGCGCAGATACATATCGCTTCTTATAAACGTAATAATGTACACTATATATATCACTGAGTAACACCCCCATGCTATAATTTAAAAGCTTGGAGAACCCTGCATGCTTGCATTCACACTTTCAGTGAAAAACAGATGCCGGCAAACAAAGCCAGATGTCCACAAGCATTAGATGTGCCTGCTGTATATTGCCTCGAAGGTGCAATTGTACATGAATGAAGCATTGATTGTCTTGCAGCAATGGGTGCCACGTAGGGTGACCTCTGAGCATGGACCAAAGACTATTCAGCAGATTCGTGAAGACTACGCTAAGGACTTTGGTGTCTACTATCCGAGTCAGGGTCAGCTGCGCGGTAGTGCTTTCGCAAATCTATTCAGCCCGCCACCACGACCTGGAATGTCAGAGTCGTTCATGTTCGCTCCAAGGTCAGCCCTCGGTAAGTGCTTGTGGATTTTTTTGTGGTGGTTGTGCTATCCGAGGAGCGAGCAACGTGTTCGGTGCTCGCCACACTAGGGGGGTTGGGGGGCATGCTCCCCCAGAAAAAAAGGTGCAATTTCGTGCATTCTAAGCTATTCTGAACACATTACACGACAATCACTTTTTCAAGTTGTCAAAAGGAACAAGTAAACTATGAATATGAAATGAAGTATTCACATTAAATACTAATACCATAGAAAACGAAGCGAATGCCTGGAGCGTGGGAAAGAACTTGAAGCTTCCGGTTATATTCATGTTCTGTGTATCAATTATCTTATGAATTTGAAGTTCATACATTTGAAAAAAACATAATTCAACCAAAGAAATAGCGAAAAGGACTCGTATGTCGAATTTGGGGTCAAGGGTCAAAGGTCAAGATGTGTCAATGGAGGGGGAATATTTCCCCCTTAACTTAAGGTATAGAAGGAAATACGGAATTACGGAATACGGAAATAAGGCACAAATCTCAACGGCTCAAGCTACGCTCTTTATATTCGATGTATAGTGTGATGGGGAGGAAACCCATCACCAGTACGAAATTGGAGGTCACAGGTCAAAGGGCAGTGGGGGAAAGGTCAGATATCACACATTTTCAGAGGACATGGTCTAACGGACCTAGTGCAAAACTTTTTTGTTTCAGCACTGACCTACCATTTCTATCCCTTTATTGAAAGGACCATGAATTGTACTTTCCGCTGACGTGCGAAGAGTAAGTGTCTGATAACCTTTTGACCTTCAAGAGGAGGGTTAAACATGGATTTCTTGACTGTTAAGTGTTAACAAAAGACTGAACTGCTTTTGCTATTGCGGATATGAGGCTACAGTTGCACAGTTCAATTGCAAAGGCAAATGTTTGTTGAACAAGGTTTATGCTCCTTAAATCATATTATTTTCTAAAGCAGTCTGTATTAGCACCCTGAGTAGCACCCTGTATTAGCACACTGTAATAGCACCCTGAATGCTCGCGTGGGTAGGCAAAAACACGGGGCAGCCCATTACGCATGCATGGGGGTGAACTGGCACTATTCTAATCATAATTATTGCCTGGCAACCTGCAATGCAGATGTGTTAATTCACTCAGCCTGAATATACTTGGATTTTAGCCGGTAGGATTTCAGCAACTCAATGGAGTGAGGTTATCACGCACGAAGGGCGATGCCATCTTTGATTATTGATGACACTTGCACGCGCCATCTCGCGGCAACTGCTTTTGCTATTTAGAGCTCCCTCCTCACTGCTTTTAGATCTGTATTAGTAGTATCCTAGATATATGCTCTGAGTGCGAACGCGGTGGTGGGAGGGCGCACTTGAT